CCCCCCATCTGCACAGCCCTTTGGGCACCAACACCAACGGGCAGACCGCCCAGTCCACCTGTGACTTTGTCGACGCTGGATTCTTCTGGACGGGCACCGCCGCGGCCGCCTGCGAGGAGGACACCTTCAGTGCGACCGTCAGGAGGAAAACGGCGGCCGCGACCTGCGACGCCTGGTGCGGCGCTGCAGGCCGCGCCCGCAGCGAGCGGGCCGCACGCCGCGCTCCGCGCGCAGTGCGCGGCGCAGAGCGCAGCGGGCGCCGCGCTGGGGCCCCCTACGCGGACGCATGCGACGCGCGCGCGGCGCTGACGGCCAGCGCCCCCGCTTCACTCCCCCCGCCCTCGCCATTTCTCCGCTGGACCGCCTGCCGGCCGCCTGCCCCGCTCGCCACGAGCCACCGCACACCGCCTCAGTCCAGCCCTGACCGCCCCTTTTCAATCCCCCTGCTGCCGCCGCGCAGCGCGACCGGCTTCAGCACGGCCACCAACACCGGGCAGACGTCCTGCGGCTTCAACGCCAGGGGATACAGCATCTCCCTCGTCGGGACCACATTCATAGCCACACCCTGCGCGCCCGACACTTTTCAAGCCTCACAGCTGGCCATCACCTCTCTGCCCAAGTGCCAGAACTGGTGCGCGCCCCCGCCTGCGCCCGCGCCGCGCGCGCTCGCCGCGGTGGCGCGCCTCCCGCCGCGCCGCACGCCCGCGGCGCGTGCGGAGCCGCGTGTGCAGGGCATGGGGCAGCTTGTCGGCGCCGGCTCACTGAGCTTGATCTGAAAAGGCCGCTGCAGTTTGCCACAGCAGCACCTCCCAGCACCCAGGCCGCCGCTGCCAACCCGGAAAGCGCCATGCCGTATCCTCCTGAACCGTCGTTTGAACCTCTTTCCCCCTCCTTCAACCGCCTCTCCTGCAGCGCCACCGGCACCAACACCAACAACGCGACCACCCAGACGGCGTGCAACTTCCTCAGCCCGGGGTTCGGGTCCGACGCGGGCTCCAACCCCTTGGCCTGCGCCGCCAACACGTTCAGGGCCGGCGTCACGGCGCGCGTCCCGAGCGTGTCCTGCGTGGCTTGGTGCGGCCCCGGCGGGCGGCCGCGGGGGGACGCCAGCCCCACCCTCGATTTGCGCCTGCGGCCGACGCCGGCGGGCGTGACGCTGCCCCGCCATGGCAGGGCGACTAGGCTCTCCGCTTTGCTTGTGTCTATATGCTGGTGTCTGTATGCTGGTGTCTATATGCCCTTCTTACTCTGCAGGCACGTGAATATATGCCACACAAAACCGTGCGAGCGCGCCCAACGCTTCTTACGCGAGCTCTTCCGCCCCC